CCCCAAAACCCCAAAACCCCAAAACCCCAAAACCCCATAATGTATATAAGAATATGAATTCCATCTAATAATATTAAATAGCCAATATGAAGCCTTTAAAACTGAAGAATTGTTCAAAATCGAAGTCTAAAACTGTGAATGTAAGGCCAATTCATTACCTAATCTCTGACATACCTATCAGCCTCACTTGGTAGGGCTTCTTAGGCTTAGTGCTTCAGGCTCACTCCTTTTATGCTATTCTAACATCTTTCTAGAAGACTACTAGCCAGCTCAAAATTCCATCGTTGAAGGTAAGTATTGCTTCTAAAGTAGGTAATTATGGTAAAAGACTTCGTTCTAAAAATTCAATGAGTCTTTAAGGAATATTCTAAAAACGGGAGTTTAGCCAGCCATTTTGGGGAAACTTCATGTTAATGTAATTAAGTCTGGCCAGGACTGGGGTTAACCTGTGGGTGTCTTAGTGCATTATGCTTAGTGCAATTTAATTGTTGACCTAATTTTACAGATGAAGCCAAATGGTACTATGAGATTATGAAAGGTGAAGAGAAAAAGAAGGTTTATTAGCCCAAGGCAGATTAATAAAGCATTCTTAGATAGGTGAAGGCAGACATCTAGAGGACCAAAGAGGCAAAGTGCTCTGTAAGATGTGATTTCATTTGAAATTTTGTTGTCCCTTGTTTTATAGTTTGAAAAATGTGTAACGTTTTTAAAATAGGTTAGCAATAATTACTTCGAGAGCCAAAAAGATGACAATCCAAAGAAGTAAGAACACACCCAAGATTTCTGCAAAGAGTCCTGTACCAAACCATAATCTTAGAACATTGGTATCACCAGTTGAAGAGCAATTTGATGCTCAGGAAAGAAGGTATATGGATATCATCAAAAAGGCCCAGAAGGCTCTCAATCGGAGCCCTAGAGTGCTTAATTCACCTGGAATACTCAAAAAGTTGCTTTCAAATTGGGACTCCATCAAAAGCCAAGGTACTGCTCACCAATATTTTTCTTTAAATTATTCAGAGAAAAATAAGTTAATTCTATTACCTTGAAATATGGCTAAACTTAATTTAGAACGAGAAAAAGATAGGAGGTATCTATCACCGAAACAGCAAGATTTCTTCAAATTCGATGATGCCACGCAGGACTTCGATATAAGTGAAATCAAGAGCTTCAGCTTGGATAAAAAGCAAAATGAACGCGCGAATAAAAAGTCTATCTATAGTACTAAATTTTTATAACAAATTCACACTTGAATAGGTCCAGGAGTTTAAAAAGGCGCATTCCTAGTTTTTTAGGCATGGTTTAGGAGTATTATAAATTAGAGTTATTTCACTATATTTTCTGGAAATTACTTATTAGTTCTAATGATAGGTTTCGAGGTCATTCTTCTGGGGGTTGGGCAGCATCAGCTTTGGTATTATCATATCAAGGGATCTTAAATTTTAATGGGCTTAATCTATCTAGTAGAGATCTAATTTGTCTACTAATTTCGATTCTGAAGAAATATGAAAAATTGTTCTTCAAATATTCTATGTTTATTACTATTATAGTTAATTTGCACTATTTTAAGACAAAATATGATCATTTTGAATTTTCTTGATACAGAAAGCACTAAAGAAACAGCATATTTAAAACTTTTCCTAAGGTATGCCATTTGGATGAAGATCAGTCATATCTCACAAAATCGTTTGGTCATATAGCTAGGGTTGCAACAGAAAATCACCCATTTCTTCGTGAGGTCTATAAAAATCCTAAACTTGCAGTATTATGTTTCTGTGTAACCAAACTATTTATAAATGCTCAATTTAGTGTCCACGGTTGAGTAATCCTAAAATTTAAGATTTTGTCTATCCAAATGCATTTCTCATAGCTGACCGAAGACATAATTTATGTACTAGCAGACATTATTATTTCCCCAATCCCCATTAATCTATTATCTTCAATTACAAAACACATCCCGGGGTTTTGGGGTTTTGGGGTTTTGGGG